GACTGACTGAATATAAGAGGATTGTGTTGTTAAACACCATGGCAACAGGAAAACGAGCAAGACAGAAAGGGGGGGACATACATGTATGTAAATGCACAGACACACACACACACACACACACTCTCTCTCTGAAGTGAAAGTTAAATATTTCAACACAGAGACTGTGTCCAACACTGATTGAGGACATGTATACTTAAGTCCACATACTATACATTTCACTGACTGACCACCGCAAGATCAAAGTCCAAAAAAACTGGGGGGGAAAAAAATGACTATGTATCTATAGTCATGTCCAACGACATAAGAAGAAAACGAGAAAGCATCCACGTGTACAAAGTGTCCACGGTATCCACCCACGATCCCTAAGAGAGACACATGTCCAACAAGTGGGACTTCGCAAAAAAAGGGCACGTCGCCGCTTCACACCACGTTAAGAGAGCACACATATTCAACATGGACAGTTGTCCAACTTGCCTATTTTAGGAGATAAATACCTGTCTCCGCAAACGTATCCACAGACGTGTTTCACGTGTCCAAATGTAAAAAAAAAAAAAATCGATGTCCCTGTACATCACCAGATGCATGACTACAGGGAGAGACAGGATGGAAACAGTTTCAACAAAAAGTGCTGGTGCCCAGAGAAACAATGTCCAACAGAGCCACAGAGAGAGAGAGAGAGAGAGAGAGAAAAAACACGTTCAACAGACAGAGCAAGAAAGAGGGAGAGGTAACTGCAAACATGTCCAAACATAGACAGAGGAGACAGCAGTAGTTAGTGTTTCTCTCTCTCTCTCTTTATCCATCTTACTCGCTCTGTGGACATGTCTCCTCTCTAAAGCTATATGGACATACCTCTTATCTCTACCTGCCTGTGGACACGTTTCCTCTCTCTCGTTCTCCCTCTTTTTGGACATGTCTCCTCTTTTCCTCTACCTCCCTATGGACATGTTTCCTCTCTCTACTTCTCCCTATCTGTGTACATGTCTCCTCTCCTAAAAAAAAAAGCAGCAGCGGGAAAAGTTGCTGCTTTTTTTTCTTTTTTTTTTTTTTTTTTTGTTCTTCAGGGTAAGAGTCGTCGACAGCTGCTGAGACTCTCACACTTTATCGACATCGTTAGCGGAGCCGGAGGACGAACAGACACAGGAGGAGCAACAGCACGGAAGGAGTAACGGTAGGAGTAAGAGCAGAATTTCTTACCCGCAGGATCTCCTCACCTCTTCTCCTCCTCGTTCTCGTGTGACTCCCGCAGAAGAGCAGTGGAGCTGCTGCTGCTGACGTCAGCAGAGGGAGGAGGGGCCTGAGGGACTCTCATCTTTAGGCCACGTGACCACTCTTGACACATACACAAACACACTGTATGCAAATAAAGCCGCTTCAGACGTGAATACAATGTATATATGTATACAGTCAAACGAACGATGTATTGAACACAACATTATGAAGTACGTTTGTCGAGCGCAATAATATTGATATTGTTTCTAAAATATTAACGAACTACGTACTACAACTACTGCGTAAAAGTATCTTTCCGCTCAACGTGCAAAGAATTATACTAAAATAGGATGTAGAACGTAAGAAAATGACGTAAAACGTTTGACATGTATGGTGCGGGTTACTAAAACTTTCAACACTAAAAACATAACACTAAAAATATATATAATATATAATATATATTATTAGTAAACATTATTAAATAGCAGCGATAAAACAGTTATAACAATACAATAGTAATAATGATAATGGAGGTGGACAGTTGTCCCACATGCGGACGTAGCCGTCCACAAACATAATGACTCAATACAAATAAAACCACACCGTACGTCACCAGGTACGTGACTGTAGAGAGAGAATGGGTGGAAGCAGTTTCAACAAAAAGTACACACGTTTCAACACTGGAAACGTACATAATGTACATATACATAATTTATAAAATAAATGGTGTATGTGTATCGTTATCATTTCTAGGGATGTCCTTTAATATTGGCCAACTATTATATTATTTTTACCGATTTTAGCAAATGTAGGTAATTTCGGAAATGATTGTTAGTGTTTTTTTTTCCCCAAAAAATAATAACGCAATGCCTGTGTTTCGCCCAATGATGTGACTTGAATGTGAAAGTAATGTGAAAAGAAAATCTGCCGCAAACGGTTGCATACCATACCATACCATAGAGATAATATGGTACACTTAGTGTACGTACATACAAATATATACATATATATAACAATGGTTAACAATGGTATAATTGAAATATAATAATATACACGGCAACAATAATTACCTACGTTTTTTTTTTACTGTTGTTTCGGTGCTGTACGCAAAGGGAACTCCCGAGGGATTAATAAATACTGTTGTTTTGGTGCTGTATGCAGGGAACTCCCGAGGGATTCATAAAGTGCTATCTAGCAGTATCTGTTCCACCCACGTCCACAAGGGGGAGAATCAGCAGAATCAAACAAGATAAAAACATTTTTTTTGCACTTGCAGCTAACTTCAGCAGATCCTACTGTGTAAAGACTAAACATTCTGACACAGCATAGGTTCAAACATTGTGTCTCTGATTTTAAACAGTAGCCTTTTGTTTGTTTGTTTGTTTTTTTTCTTTGGTTTGATTCAGCGTACAATCTTGATGAGTCATGTTTCAGTAAGTGAAAAAAGAAGTGGAGCTGCTCATAAAAAACAGCCACACAAGCACACGGTGACCAGGTTTTATCATGACGCCTGATTTTTAACCATGGACTTCTCAGTTTTTCTTATATTATTCTTACATTGTTGTTTCTTATATTATTTGTAGAAAATACAAAACTACCTCTTTTTTTAAATGATAAAAAAAAACTGAAAATGAAATGAGATTTTTTTTTAAGATTTGTTTTTCTCATCTCATCAAATAGAAACCTTATCTGTCCCTATTCACCATTTAATTATGTAAATATTGATATATAAATATATGTAACGGATAGATAGATAGATTGTAATAAGAATATGGGGTGAAATGTAAATGTTGTGGTTCCCCTTGCTGTTGCCATGAGAGAAATCAATAATAAAAAAAATAATAATGTAATCTAAAAAAAAAATGAATCAATGTGTTTTATTGACATGTTTTTTTTCCATAGTTTTTTTTTAATTAATATTGTTTTCTGTATTTTTTAATCAAATCTTAGGGGAAAATCAATGGCTGAATTGACAGAAATGTAACAGTGTAAAAACAATTGTTTTATTTTTTTTGTGTGTGTTTAACTGGAGTCACTTATATCTTCTCAAACAAAGTCAAAATCACAGGATTTCTTTAATTCCATCTGGATCTGAAATCAATTAAGTTAAATAGAAACTAAGAAACTGAACATTCAAATGGGAAAATTCATAGATTAACGACAAAAAACAAAACAAAAAAAGCAATTTTATACCAAACAAAATCAGAGTTTAACCGAAACACATCATGGTGAGGATTAAAGGTTCAGTCTGTAAGGATTAGTGACATCTATAGACAGCACTTTGCTCAACCTCTTTTCCAAATTTGGTCAGGAAACTTCTGTTGCATTCATCGACCAAAGGGTGTAAAGAAAATTGCGATCACAGTAGTACTTTCTATTGTCGCCATCTTTTTCTCCTATAGTTTGTACCTTTTTTTTGGAGGAGTATATTTTTGTCGTTTGGACCGTAAAACTCACTCTGATTTATTTATGAGGTTGCCATAGAAACTTGGTGGATCGAAATAGTGGCCTCACATCAAGAAACAGCACTTTATTTAATATCATTAGCTTAGCTTTTTAACATGCTAACATTTCATTACCGACCTAGTGAAAAACAAATTTTACGTGACATTTGCAACAGTTGTTTCCCTAACCCTAGCAGCCTCAGTTTTACGCATTTACTTCATTTGAGAATCCAGTCACATCCCTTTACTTTTTCCATTAAAAGATAATCTATTAATGTTCAAAAACAACAGGTCAATCAGACTCCGATGCTAACAGAATAAAGTCTAAAAGATGTTTTATTTTGAAAAATTTAATGATCCTTCAATAATGGCACGATATTACCAGTCCACAGTAACAGCTAATACCGGCCGACCAGTCCTTGGTACAAAAAAGGTTGGGGTCAGCTGCTCTAATGGGTTGCAGATATACTTTACCACAAGGTTTTTCTATGTTAGGTGATGTAATGATGCTAAAAAAAAATCTAATTACCAGCATGTATTTGTTGTTAGTACGTAGTACGCAAGTACTACGTTGTGGTGAAAATAGCAATGTTTATTGT